TAGTGGGAATAAGGGAGTAATTCCCAGATTCCCGAAGTAAGAGTAAATCTGAGTAGTTCCCAAATTCCAATACTAGAGTAAATTCGAGTAATTCCCAGCAGATTCCCGTAGTGAGGTGTGTTTAATCAAAGATATAAAAAAATGTGATAAACAAGGTTAAGGCGGAGAGAGAGAGAGGAGGGGGGAGGAAGACAGGCAGACAGAGAGGAGGGAGGGAATCCCCAACATGATACGAACAACATAGACGACATTGCAACATGTTGGTTTATGCTGCTAATACGAGGACCAAGATCTTGCTCCTTGGGAGTAGGATCTTTAAACCCTTCGACAATCTATAACGTTCTGGAATATTTATCAGATATTAAAAAAGAAAAAAAGAAAAAAATATATATATATATATAATATATATATATATATATATATATATATATATAATATATATATATATAATAAGAGACTGAGAGACTGAGAGACTGAGAGAGAGAGAGAGAGAGAGAGAGAGAGAGAGAGAGAGAGAGAGAGAGAGAGAGAGAGAGAGAGAGAGAGAGAGAGAGAGAGAGAGAGAGAGAGAGAAGAGAGAGAGAGAGAGAGAGATGACGCGCATGAAGGTAAACAAATATAATTTCATTCACCAGCAGATTGGAATAAGAAAATGAAACACAAACGCAAATGCATGAAATAGGAAGCGAAACGACACACTAAATTGAATAAGAAAATTAAACACGACGCAATGAGCGGAATAAGGAAATGATACAAAACACAGATTGGAATAAGAAGTGAAACACAACAGATGAAATAAGAAAGTGAAACACAAACACACTGAATGAAATAAGGAAAATGAAACACAACGAGTGAAATGAGAAATGAAACACGAACACTGAATGGAACAAGAAAGTGAAACAACAAAATAAATGAAATAAGAACAAAATAACACAAATACCCTCTAATAAGAAAATGAATCACAACACAGAATGAAAAAAAAATCTTTTACTTCAAATACGAACAAAATAATTTCCTCCCAACTTTAGTACTACCGGAACTACAAGAGAAGTTCCAGAGGAAATTGGTCCCCTTTTTTACAGCAGCCCTGTTTATGTGGTTCTCCAACATAATGCGGTCGTGCCTCATGGCTGAGTGTATGTGGAAGAGAGCCGGTGAAGCGGTCGCGCCAGAGTCTGCTGCTCCATTTAATTTCTTCCGAGAAATGCGACAAGAGGGGAAAGGGGTTGGGAAGCGTGCTCGCGGCGAGGGATAATTTTTACCTGGATAATGTTGTCGATAATGTTGTTCCTGTGTGGTGTTTGGCCTTGTTGTTGATCACGCCTTTTGTGATGTTAGGTATTTCCATGGTTCGTTTTTTTGTCATATTGTTGTTGTTAATACCATGATTACTACTGCTGCTGTTTTATTATCATTATTCCTATCATGATCCATCTTCATTATCAACACCACTACCATTATCCTCCCCTTCACCACCACTATCCTCATCACCACCATTATCATTATCACCACCTTCACCACCACTATCCGCATCACCACTACCATTATCCTCACCTTCGCCACCATTATGCTCATCACCACCCTCACCACCATCATCATCACCACCACCACCATTATCCTCATCACCACCTTCATCCTCATCACCACCCTCACCACCCTTATCATCATCACCACCACCATTATTCTCGTCACCACTACCATTATCCTCCCCTTCACCACCACTATCCTCAATCAACCCACCTTCACCAATATCATCATCACCACCTTCATCCTCATCACCAGCGTCACCACCATTATCCTCATCCGCATAATTAACCCCTGTTGATCATAAACAATTCCACCAAACGACGTTCTCCCTGTGAAGAAGGCGGCGCGCATTCCCTCCCATACGCTCAGGAATGTCTCATTACTAATTAAGTGATTTGTAGACATACATGGTTATCAATTATTGACCTGGTGGGACCTCGCGCCGTAGGGTCGGTCGTGGCAGGAAACCAGGTCAGCTCCGGGTGGTAGAGGGACGGAGTGATGTACTTGGCTCCTGGTGAAGGCGTGGCTAAGGGGCATGATAGTGCTATGGCGCTCAGTAAGAGTGATGTTGATATAATGTATTTGTTGTATTATTTTTTTTTGCTACTGAGGTGGATTTTTGACACCTACTTTCACTTTATTTGTTTATTTATTTGTTTAAGAGGTTGAAGTGGAATTATTTCTTTGGTTTAATTTCTCGTATTCCTATTTTTGTTAAGAGATGTAAAACCAGTGGGACCTTAGACTCAGAATCCAACATTATCAAACTTCTAGAACATTTTACCAAACTAAACGTATGTTATTCTGGGTGATGGTGGGGGTGGGGGGGGGGGGGAGTCTTGAGTCTCCTCAATGACCCCCTGTTCTTACACTTTCTCTCTTTTCTTTCCTTTCGCTTTCTTCTCTGTCTTTGTTTTTTCCTTTTCTCTGAGTGTCTTAGGGATCAGAGGCAGGCAGGGACGAAAGGGGT